GTCTTCCAGAGTCGAGGCCAGTAAAAACGTCGGATACGGTGAAGCGTTCAGACAAATCCAAGGTGCCCAGACGTAATGTTATCATGCATGGCTTGGAATACCGCAAGACGCAGGCAGTCTGGCACGACGAGGAGTAGTGTGGAACCATGGCTGGAGTAATTCTTGGGATATAGTAGGGCGTTATGAATCACCAATGGCGTGGCATGTTTGGAGCTACGAGCCACATCGATAATTGGTTTCAGCGAAGGGTCAGCTGTTGCTCGAGACGGAAGACGTCTAAGTTTGGGAAGTTGGAGGAGATTGCAGCCAGGTAGTTATCGAAATCATCATCATCAGCATCCACAGTCGGAGATGGAAAATGAAATAAGCAGTCAGCATCTGCATGACATCAACCGCTCTTGTAGGTCACAGAATAATTATATTCTTGCAGCCGTAAGACCCAACGAGCCAACCAGCTAGCTGGGTCACGTCCGACAAGCCAACAAAGAGAATGATGATCTGTGACGATCTTGAATTGCCGGCCGTACAAATATGGTCTGAACTTTTGAACGGTAAAAAACAACTGCAAGACATTCCAGTTCAGTGATCGTACAATTCCTCTCCGTCTTGGTCAAAGTACGACTTGCATACGCCACGACGTGCTGGCGGCTGTCATGATAATGAACTAGCACGGCACCAACACCGATACTACTAGCATCCGTATGCAGTTCCGTGAGTACCTCCGGGACGAAATGGCGCAAGAGAGGCCCGGAAGTAAGCAAATACTTCAGCTGCTCGAAAGCAGCCTCACACACAATGGTTCATCGGAATGGGGCGTTTTTGTGGAGCAACTGTGTCAGAAGATGAGCAAGCTGGGCGAAGTCTTTAATCAACCGGCGAAAATAAGAACACAGGCCCACAAAGCTACGGAGATCTTTCACAGACGTTGGTCGCTTAAAGTCTCGGACAGCATGGATCTTTTGCGGGTCTGTCCGTGTACCGTCCCTGTTAACTAGATATCCGAGCGCAGGGGCTTGATGCTCACCAAAATGACACTTCCTTGCGTTTAAAACGAGACCAGCCTGTTTGAGACAATCTAGAACAATGCTATGCCGATGGTTGTGCTCGTGGAATGTCTTGCCAAAAATAATTACATCATCGAGATAACACATACATATTTCCAATTTGAGACAGTGAAGGATGGAGTCCATGAATCTCTCAAAGATAGCTGGGGCATTATAAAGTCAAACGGCATAACGTTAAATTTGAATAACCCATCAGGCGTGACAAAAGCAGTCTTCTGTCAGACAGATGCATTGGTATCTGCCAGTATCCAGACCTTAGTTCAATGGACAAAAAGTATGCGGCCGAGTGCAGGCAATCAACAGCATCATCGATGCGTGGTAGCGGATACAAGTCTTTCTTTGTGACGGTGTTGAGACGGCGGTAGTAGACACAAAATCGCCAAGAGTTGTCTTTTTTTTTTACCAATATAACAGGAGCTGCCCATGGACTACTTGACTATTGAATACCGCCGTTCTGCAGCATGTCGTTGACCTGATCGGCAATCACTGTCCTCTCTAATGGGGATACGCGATAGGGTTTCTGGCTTATCGGTGTAGCATCTCCCGTGTTGATGCGGTGGTGCATACAGGATTCGGTCCACATGGAACGCTTGTTTAGAGCGAAATCAAAGACTCCCACGTAGCGTGTAAGCACCTTCTCAAGGACATCCTGCTCGGAAGATGGCAACGACTTATTGATCATGCGTTTCATCTCGGCTGAGTAGTTGGGCGCAGTCTGACTGATGGCTGGAGACTCTGAGACCATTCTGACGTTAACTGTGGCCTGCTCCTCAAACATTCCCAGTTTAAATCTGGCTGGTAGGATAACAGGCTCTCATGCTGCGTTGAGCATCCACAAACAAGCATGTCTATCGATGACTGTAAGGACAGACCGTGGCACCAACGCACTCTTCTTGATGGCGTTTGTATGATCAGGCTCGGCAAGTCCAGTGCAGAGTCCTGAGCGGACGTGAGAAGAGCATACGGAAACAAACATTGCTGTCCGTCCAGGGATCGTCACATCTTCAGACAACAAAAGCACATCGATGAGGAGAGTTGAAAAATCGTCAACTATGGCAACGGGCAACATACTTTGAGGACAAAGAAACGATGCTTGAAACGAAGACTGATAACTGAAATTGAAGCACCAGTGTCTAAAAAGCAAGAGTGTCTACACCGTTTATACACACGCGCACTTTGTTCATCAATATCACAGCAGAAGGAGGAATTGGCAAAACTGACAGTCCCGCTACCGCACCTCCATCGGCCGCACCAGCTTGTTTCCCAGCTGATAGGAGGAAGGCGACAGACGACGCGAAGACGGCGACCGGCGGGAACGGGCCGGAGGTGGCATCAGGCTTCGCTCGGAGACGAGGGACTCGCTGCGAAATTCGTTAGGCCATTGCTCTCGGGGACAGTGGTCGGCCGGGTGAGCGGTCCAGGTTTCGTGCATTCGAGGTGGGTACATCGAAAAACCTGGGGGCACAGGAGTTTCGTGCATACGAGCCGGGTACGTCGAAAAACGTGGCGGCGCAGGCGGCCGGCTCGGACCGAAGCATGAAATATGCCCTCTGAGACCGCATGTGTAGCAAACGGGAACTTGTCGGCTTACATTAGCAGGAGCAGAGGTGGCAGAAGTACGCGGAGACAGGTTGTGCTCTGCAGGAACATTTCGTGATGATGCACAGTAGTTTTCTGGTAGAAGCCTGGTTGACGATGGTCGGAGGTCTGCAGCGGCACGTCGAGATGATGACATCCGGTGGTAGCCGTGACCGGTCGGGGAAAACGGAAGCCGCGAGGTGAAATCTGCAGTTTCTGTGCACCGTCGGTTTTCGACGTGGCGCTTTGCATCCAGAAGAGAAGTGGTGCGGGGCACGCGGCGAACGAAAATTGGTTGTGAGCATCACCTGCTTGAAGTCGTACGAGCGCTTCTCGAACTACTCGACGTACGTGGAAGAGAATGTCTTCGCAGGTGGCGATGTCCATACTTGCAACAGTGGGAACATTGTCCAAGCGCCTGAACTTTGGTAAAATTCTCCGGGTCTTCAACGCCTCAAATGCGCGACACTGCTGCTTGAAAATAGAAGGAGTGTTCAAGTTCTCTTTCGTTATGAGAAAATAGTACATGTCTTTGGCGATGCCGTTTAACAAACGACCGACTCTGTCTTCGTCAGAATTATTTGCGTTGACCATCCGGCAAAGCTTAAATACCACTTCGATGCAGGGTGTGCACGTTTCGCCGGGCAACTGAGCCCTACGTGACAGCGTTTGCTCAGCTTTCTTTTTCGTAGAACACGTGTCCCCAAAGCAGGCCTTCAGTTCCTCAACAAATAGGAGTTATATCCCAAGTGATGAAGACATGATCATGGTTCTCAAACCAAAGCAAAGCGGTCCCGGCAAGGAATACTACGTTCACGAGCTTCACCGGCGCGCCCCATTCGTAGAAGCGACTCACTCTAGTGTAGTGTTTTAGCCAAGCATTCACGTCTTTGTCAGTTTTACTCGAGAATATCCGTGGTTCAGGCGCCCAGTAGTGTGGTTGTTGAGGTCGACAGCCACCTTGTGCCATGTCAGTGGCACTGGCGGATGCAGCAGCGTATACGCCAACGGGATTGCTGTGTCGTCATTCATGCTGATGTTGTACGGGGGTAGGCCAGCTAAGTGTCTGCTTTTTCTAACTTCTGCTGCGGTATCCAGGACAGCGAATTACCCAGCACCTTCACCAAAGCTGTTACGGATGTGATGGGTTTATTTACACTGAAAATGCCAGTGCTCAACAGTCACTGCCGAATCACCATCTCTCTCTACCTTTTCTGCTTTCTCGCTCTTTCAGTCCGCGCTACAATATGTTTTGCTGACAACAATCAGTGTAAATTTCAAGAAAGAAATAATTGAAAGTTGTCAAATATGTGCTGTAAGATTAGCTACATATTTCAAGTACTATTATTTGTAGCAGAAACCAAGCCAAACCATTAAAGCTGATACCCACATTTTAGAAGTAACCGCAGCACCACTGAACTGTTGTCAATTAGACAATAGGTAATCGGTACAAGATAAAAGTATAGCCTATTTACCATTTCACCACACTAGCCTGCAAGTCTAGCTGAAAAAAAAAATAACTGCCAAAAGGCAGTTAATATGGCAGTTCCTGTCACACAAATGAGATCATAGCCGATAATGATGAACACTAGTAGCATACTGGGATGATAGTATACAGATTCTTTTCAGTTTCATTAGGAATTGTGAGCTGGTTCAACTGGAAAAGTTTGTCATTCTTTCTCTCAGTGCCATTTCGAAGCAGGTTTGGAGCAATTACTATCAAAAATTGCTGTTTGGAGAAGCAAGGAGCTGCATTTCTCATTTGCAGCAGTTTGGAGCAATTGAAGCAGCACTTCCATCACTCTTAGTGTGCACCAGATCGTACCCCTGGCTAGTCTGTCTCTCAAGTTGCAAAACTCTACATCAAAAACAAGCAAGGTATTGTCATTATTTGCTCTTTATAAGCTAAATATATTTATTGCAGCTATAGAATGTGCCCTAATATGGGACAGTGCTAGCATGCACAGTGGAATTGGGTACACGTACAAAGTATGCTCTGAGCAAGAAAATGCCAGCAAACAGACAACAGGAAGGCAACGACCAAGTGTGAGGCTAGGTGTCACGCCGACAGCTGAATTTACGCAAAACACCTTTTTCTTACCACTTTTATTTTTTTTCTTTTCGTCCCCTCGTATATTCACTGCCGTTACCCAGCTCACGATGTGCAATAAGCGTTTTTGATGGCTTCTCCACATATATAAAAACGTTTCGGCTTTACTTCTCTTTTTTTTTTTTTTTTCAGCCCAAAGTTTTAAAACGACCTACCTATCAAGGCATCATTCCTGTCTTCTCACCAACAACTTTAAAGAATTCCGATATATTTCACATCACATGTGGAAACTGTGCACGCCCACTTACCATTGCACAAAATTCTAGTTTACAATGCTGTGCCATATGATCGAGGAAGGCATTGATGCCGTGCACTGCCAGTTGCCGCAGTTGTAGCGACTCCGCGCTGTCGGATGTCGTCACGGGTCGACACATAGACAGCGACACGTCCAGCAGGATCACCGTCGGCATCTTGAACGCCGAGAAGTCGCTCGTCTAAACACAGTGGTATAGGTGTCCCCTGCCGTGGCCGAAAGTTTCTCGCATGTCACAAGGCCAACTGTTCACATCTTGAATGTCAACGAAAAGCGAGCTTGCACACAACTCGTCACTCTCGCGACTATAAAAAATGATAATCTTGAAAACTAGACGAAGCTTTTATGCCCCCGTTCAATAAGAATGTGTCAGTGTCGTATACATCTTGGAGGGCGCATCACACATTCCAACCACAGAATACCTACCAGATTAGAGAACGGAAACTGAGCCACAGAACACCTAACTGAACCTTTGGGCTGTTCTATCAAAACATAGCCGCCTAAATTTCTCTTGCCTGCCGGGTTATCGGTGGCAGTGCCTCCTCTATAACTTTCAGTGCCTGGTGGATGGGGAGGAGAACAAAAAGCGCGACCGTCGGCGCGAGTACAACCGTTCACCGCCAAGCGCCGCCACCCAAATAGGGTTTCGCGGTCTTTCGCCGCTTTTGCTCGCTGCCCGCGCATCAGTTGCGCAGGTGCGGCTGCTAGTTTCGTGTCGCGATTTTTTCGACTTCAGGGTTTCTTGAGATGCTGACAATGATCGGTAGAAGCAAGGCCTACTCGATCGCTAAGCTTTTGAGCTCGCTCGCAACAAACACAAGACTTGGCAAAACCCGCAGTTGCTGACTTGGCGCTCGGCCGCGGAGCAAGTTTGTACAAAACCCGATTCAAAATTAGTCTACGGTCCACCATTAACCAAATCCAACTGAACCAATTTGCTGTCCCAATTCAAAATATCTCGTGAAATATTAACCCAACATTAAGAAAAAGGCATGCTGTTTCTCTGTCCAGGGTCAAACCTGCTGCCTAGGATTAAATCACCAGGTGACAAGGAAAAAAAAATTTATTGGAAGAAAGCAACCTTTCTCGCAGCCGTACATATGCTGCCCCGCTATTAAAACACTTGCGCACAAAGAAATAAATATAAAATTACACAGACAGTGATTTTCACACCCTTACATCCATCGGCCTAAGTAAAACATTTGGTGGCAATTAAAGAAACGTTAACTACACAAGGAAACAATATTTCACAACCATGCATACATTGGCCTAAGAGTGAGACATTTGCTGACAAAAAAAAAAAAGGATCATAAATTGCACAAAACTATTTTTCAGACCCATAAAAAACATTCGCTGACAAGAAAAAATATCATAAATTGCATAAGAGAATATTTATCACAGCGCTGCATAAAATGGCTTGCAATGAAAATATTTGTTGACAAAATAAAATATCACATAATACACAAGGACACAACCTTTCTCAAATCCTTACATACTTCCTTGAAAGTGGCTTCCTCGCGAAATATTTGCAAGCATCCTGCTTGTCAGTCACATTAAACGCATAGTTCGAGAGGAGTAAAGTTTATTCAATAATAAAAGTTTATCCAATCGAGAGGAGTTGCCTGAGGAAGTAAATACATATGATGTTCATGCGTCACATCCTGTGGTCATAGCTGCCATCACTGTGGCATTTAAGGAGCCTTGACGCACAGAGGGCTGGAATTGTGTACTTTGTCAAGGTACTGAGTGGCTTTGCCAAAGTCGGGTTGTCTTTGAGCGCACAGTCTGCAAAAGCTCGCAAAGTATGAAGGACAAAAAGGAGCTGGTCAGATGGTTACAGCAAACTACCTCGGTCCTGGTGGCGTGTCAGCTGTAGGAGCGGCTGGTTGCTGGCTGGCTTCGAACACACAGAGACACAGTTTTCACAGTTCACTTTTTCACTCACCACACGGGCAATGTAGCCCCCTACATATGCTGTGGCCGATATTTGAAGAGATGGCAGGTACTGACCAACACAGAAGCGGTTAGCCTTTGCAACACCACAACTGCCTTTTTTATAGAAGGTGGTGTTTGCACATCTGTGTTTGCAGTAGAAGGAAGCGGCACGGACAAAGTACACGACGGTTGCGAACGTGAAGCACCGGCAAGTAGGGGCACAGATGTTGAACTTTCAGCATGAGCAACATTTGATGCTGCACTAGCCGCAGCGAATCCGGTCTTCAGGATTTTTTCTAGACACGAAAGTGCAGCACGAACATCCAGCGTGTCATTTGTGCTTGATGACATCCTCAATGTTCCAAACAATGACTCTATTGGGTCACTGTTGAACCGGCATGTAAGAACAAAGAAGAAGTTCTCATCTGTGAGCAGGTGTGTTATACATGCCACTGTAGAGTAAGTGGTGACGAGAACAGCCTCGTACGTCTCCTTCGCAAGAAATTCTCGCGGATGGTTGCACCTCTTCTTCAGCCCATCCAAATACAATGGAAAGGTGACTTCAAGCCATTCGAGCCTAGGATCTTCAACGTCGTCATAGTGTCGAGCATCATGCAGCAAAATTCTGATATATGTGCTGCACAGTATCGCTTGTGTCGTGCAGTACAAACCAGCGGTAAAAATTCTTCATGAAGGTAATGGTTGGGCCTGCATGGGAAAATGATTTGGAGCATGTATGCCCAGCTTGACCTTTCAAGTACTCTATGAAGCAGCCGTCACGCTTGGGGAGAGGAACTGAAGAGCTCTTCCAACGTTCATTTTTTCTATATTATTAGGGAAAACATGCTTCCGGCTCAAATATCGGACAGGTTTTACAGTTAAACCTTTCTGCATCTCGTACAGGTCCTTGATGAACAAAGCAGAAATTTCACATTTTGGCCCAATATCATGCGACAACAGTTGTGACCGGACGTTATTTAACACATGACACGGGTCGAAACTCATGAAAAGGAGTCTGTCTGGGTCACAGGGATGTTCAGTCTTGTAGGTTGCCAATCCATTCCCGAGAAGTTTGATGGCATTCACGTTAACATTGTGATTGTCGGTCACTATAGCCGTACAATCTTAAATCCACATGCTTCCACTTTCTTCATTACAAAAACAATCAATCTATGAAGTTGGTCGCCGGTAAGTCCCTTCGTAAAATAGTAAGCCACTGGTATTAGGAATGCTGTGCTCATGCCACTAATCACAAAACAAAGAAGTGAATTGGCTAAAAACAGGGCTGCTGCTGTTTTGTTCTAGATCAACATCTACGTGGCCAAAAAGCGATCCCTTTGCTTGTGGTACTGTAACTTTTCTTTTATCCTCATTTCGTCAACGATGAGAGAGCAGACCCTTGACTGAGGCTTGTCCAAGTTTTTAGCTTCTGTAGCTAACCTGATTTCAACCAGTTTGCTGAAGCCTGTCTCACCGCTGGTAGTGCCAATGTAATTCGTCAGGGATGTTTGACTTGGAAGTTTTAGAAGCGTTTCACGTCGCATGTGCTCGTATGCTTTTGTTGCCAAATGTCGAAGGACCACGCAACGACGAGTTGTCTCTTCAGACCAGGTTGGCCTTTTTTTCTTAAAATTTGTGATTTGGTCTAGCAAAAACAATGTTGCAGGCTATTGCTCTGTGGCCCTTTGTCTGATATACGAGATATCTGATGCCAAAGAATCTTCTTGCAGCTTTTTTAGCTCCAATTTGTACTTTTCTACAGTCCGTTGCAACCTAAGTGCCTGGTTTCTCAGGTCCTTTTCTTTTCCCTTTGGCATTTACTGTGGTCAGCAAACTTGACACTTGCCTGCTGTCGACCTGAATACCTCGGTCACATGCACGAGGCTTGAGTGCACCTTCCTTATCATGCGTAACATTATTGCGCTGATCGGTTTGGATAACACTATCGGCGGTGTCGATGGGCTCTGGTTCCTCCCATTCAGGTTCTGGTGGTGCGGGTGCTGCAGGTGGCAACAGCCCAGTAGCGCCGCTTGTCGCATGACCGCTCCCCACTCTCAACGGAGCACAAGCTCGCTTTTCAATGCTTGCTGTGCTTCGTTCAGCGCTTCCTTTTGGCTGCAAGTGTTTGGGGTAATCTTCAAAAACTGAAGGCACTGCACCTTTCAACCATCGTCTTTTTTCCTTCAAGAAAGTCTTCGACGCGAAAATGACGGCTACATACCTTCGTGTAACAGGACATTGCATTTGGCGACCAGCCGTCGCGCCGAATAGCGGCCAACCACTTCTCTCGTACGTCGGCGGCCGCAGGAACTTCGGCAAGGTTCCATTTGGCGTTGCATAAATCTGTTGCCAGACTTTGGGGTGGTTGTTGCCAGACTGCCGCTAAATTTGGCAAAAAAATTTTCTTTTGTAGTTGTGGCTTTTTCGTAAGAGTTTGATGCTATCCGCGGTGCACTTCTTGGCTGAAAACTTTTCTCCTGTAGTTGTGGCTTCTCCGTAAGAGTTTGATGCTATCCGCGGTGCACTTATTGGCTGAAAACTTTTCTCCTGTAGTTGTGGCTTCTCCATAAGAGTTTGGTGCTATCCGCGGTGAATTTCGCGAGTGCATGAGCGACGCTGGCCGTTTTAATTAACGGAATGGACCGAGCCTAGCAGAAGTCGAGCGCGGCGCTGCTGCGCAATTAAGAGGCCGTTTTAATTCCGTTTTAATTAACGGAATGAACCGCACATTAAAGAATTCGTTTTCTTTACGGAATATACCGCGCCTAGCAAAAGTCGAGCGCGGTGCCGCCGTGCAATTAAGATGCCGTTTCAATTCCGTTTTAATTAACGGAAGGAACCGAGCCTAGCAAAAGTCGAGCACAGGATATCGGCGAGCGATCACCTCCATTAATCGAAGGAAAAGGTCTTTCACGTTGAGACGTGCAACGACCAAGTACGTCTCGAGAGGAAAAAAAAAAAAAAAAAGGAGCCTTGCCTCTGCCTACCCAGCATTGTGAGTGTCCCGCGGAGCTGGGACAGCTAGCTGTTTCCTGCAAACATTGTACCTGAGGTGTGGGTCTGCTCGTTTTCTTTTTTTTTTTTTTGCCGGGGCGATTGTACGTGACGACTTACTGCATTATGGGTCACCATAATTAAGCCGAGGTCCTTGCGAATTCCCCATCACTCGGATGTCGGCGGCCGCTTCTGTGCTGTTCCCGACTGTCTGTCTGACGGAGAAGCCACAACTACAGGAGAAAAATTTTCAGCCAAGAAGTGCACCGCGGATAGCACCAAACTCTTGCGGAGAAGCCACAACTACAAAAAAAATTCTGCCAAATTTAGCAGCAGTCTGGCAACAACAACCCTTCCAGTCTGGCAACCATTTATGCAACGCCAAATGGAACCTTGCCGTTACTATATTTCCGCTATGCCGCCAGGTAGCCTAGAGGCCTCAACTAGCAAAAAAAAAAAAAAAAAAGAAAACACGCCAATCAAGTAAGCTTACATTGTTTATTGACAATCGTGAATGCAGCAGTATACATGTAAACAAGGAACACTGTCTCTCACAGAGTTTGAAATTTATTTCACCACAGTGTTACACGATACAATGTGTGGTGTGGAATGCGGGAAAACAGGTGTGATA